AGTTCCGCCTGTAGGGGGTGGAATGAGTGGGTGGGGTTCGAGGAGGGAGTGCATGGTGACAGTGTCGAGTCGCATGATTCGTGTGCTTGCCAGGCTGGAAATCAGGGCCGACCCCACGACCACCACAGCTCATAGCCTGCCCACCCCACCCCCACCCCTTTACCCTCCCTCCTACTCCCGACCTGCTCGGCCTTGGTGCCGGCGATGCCGCGCTCCAGCTCGCGCACGTCCAGCTCCAGCGCGGCGCGGCGCTGCAGCGCCTCGGCTTTCTCGGCCTCCACCACGGCGCGGCGCGCGGCGAGCTCCGCGGCGCGCGCCGCCGTCGCGCCCTCGCGCGCCTCGCCCTCTCGCACGCGCTCCTCGGCGTCGCGCACCGCGTCGCGCGCCGCCGCCACGGCCGCGGCCCGCGCCACGCAGGCCTCGGCCGCGCCGTCCCAGGCGCCGCCGCGCTCGGCGCGCTCGCGGTGCAGCAGCGCGAACTCCAGGTCGCGGCGGCGCTGGTCCGCGGCCTGGAAGGACTCCAGCTCGCTCTGCTCGGCGGCCAGCTCCGCCAGCTTGGCGTCCAGCTGGTCCACCTGAGGGAGGATAGAGGGCGGGTGTGGGTTTGTTTTCGGGTACGCAGAAGTGGGGGAGCAGGGGGCGATGCTTGCGGGGACGGAGGGACGGCAGCCAGTGGCAGCAGCAGGTGGGAGTTGCGGAGGGCCATGCATCCTGGCACGAGAGCATCGCTGGGATGCAGGACTGCCCGCTGTGCATTCTGCCTGGCTGGCACATGGTTCAGTCCCGTCTTAAGAACTCCCCAGCATAGAAGCCAGCCAACACCAAAACTCCCACGCCCCAGCATCATTCATGGCACACAGCACCCATCCTGCCTGCCCTCCGCCCACCCTTCCACCACACGAGTCCCTCACCAGGCCCTGGATGGTCTCGCGCTTGGTCTCGCACTCCGCCATCAGCTTCTCGGACTCCCGGCGGCGCTCCTCGTATACGCGAGTGCCCCCGATCTCCTTGAGCAGCTCCAGGCGCTCGCCGTCCTTCATGTTGGCCATGGCCATGATCTGTCGGCGATGGGGGGGGGCGGGGGGCATGGGTATCCGATTGCGAAGATGTGTAGACGGTGGGTGAGGCATGGGAGCTGGCGCGCTGTGGGGCCCATGGCCTCCGCTGAGACGCCACGATCCAGATCAGTGACGCCAGTCGTGTCGAGAACAGCACCTCCCTCCCAGCGCATCCGTACCTTGCCCTGCTGCACCACGTAGTAGGGGTTGGCACGGGAGAAGCCGGCCGTCTCCAGCAGACTCATGACGTGCGCCTTGCTGCAGAGCAGGGAATAGTGCAGTGGGGTTTGGCGCTGTGGGATGCAAGATGATGCTGTGCCCAGCAGCTTCCCCCTCGTGAGCCCCTGGATCTTGGGGAGGAGCTGCGTGGGACCACTGACTCATCAACATGCCCAGCCCTCGCACAGCCACCGAGCGGCACTTACGTGACCACTCGCTTGTTCAGCTGGTACTCATCCTTCTTCAGACCGATGGAGCGTCGCAGCCGCACCTCCCGACTGTCGATGGGCAGGCGCCCATCGCTGTTGTCAAACACCAGCTCCACATACGCAGAGGTCACCGCATTCCCTGCTCCTTCCTGGTAAGGTGGAGGGAAGCATGTGCCACGTCAATCGCCAGCCCTGGGCCAGACTTGTGTCAGTGCCGCCGCCCATGCAGATTGCAGGTTGTCAAGGCACTACGGCAGGACTGGCAGATAAGGCAGCTCAGCCAGCGCAGCCAATATCTGCCAACACCTACATGCAGCAGGCGCTCTCGATCCTCTTGGCGGAGGGTGGTGAAGAGGTCGTTTAGCACAAAGCGGATGGCTGCACAGGTATGGAGGATGGCGTAATGGTGTAAGTCAGGAGGCACAGTTTTGCAGGGGCAGCGCATCGATTGGCTTCCATGGGAGCCTCACCATGGAAGAAGTTTGACTTTCCAGCGCCATTCGCTCCCACTGGCAAGTGTGCGGACGTGGGGAGGTGGCAGTAAGGGCAGCATGGCTGCTAGAATCAAGAGAACGGCGCGATCCACTTCCGCGACATGCGGCCCACCAGTTGGGGCTGGAGTCCCGCGAGCACAGACGCATTGTAATGCACTCCGAACACTGTTCCGCTTGCATGCGTATGACATACCTACGACGTTTATGTTGTTGCTGAAGAGCTCGGTACTGGTCTGATCCTTGTACGACTTGAAACCCTCGATGATCACCTGCGAGGGTACTGGGATCCCAAATCAACCTTTAATCATGCATTATGCCTACCGGGCTTGCGCAATGCACTTCCCCACGGGGATCAGGCTTGCCTGCTGGATGTACATCGGGACTGGCTCTCAACGTTCACAGTGTCCGTGCACGCATCCCTGCCGCGACAAGCGCATCAAATTGAAGCCTGTAGAGTGATGAGATTGATGCGCCCGCTCCCGGGGCCATGCAGCGCTGGCCCGACACCATCACCTCCGCTCCGCTGTGATTTCGAATTTTCGGAGCGCATTTTGCTCGCGCCACAAATTCGCCCCCCAAGGGGGCAACAACAATTTGGGTGTAACGCCTCCATTAATCCCCACATTCGCAGGAAGAAGTGACATTACCTCGATTTATACCATCAAGCATGTCATCAAGCTTTGTCGCCAGTGCTTGCACCACAATCCCCTGCCTCCGTCCGCATGGCACATCCAGATCGGGGCATGCCTTCCATGCCATGCAAAGGGGGTCCATCGGGCCACCAAACGAGAAGGCGCGACGCCGAAAGCATCATCATCCGCATAGGATGCCAACATGCAAGGTCGGTGAGGTGAGAGCTATCGCATTACCTCTCCCCCAGGTCTCCAACTGGGCACCCAATGAGGTCATGCACCCCCTCATTGCAGGGCGTTGCGAGTGTGGATGGGCCACCGGCCCCTGCAGCTGGGGTCGTGTCCCAGGAGCATGTGGCAGCCATCAGGGATCCCACTTCACATGCGCTTTTGGCCAGGGTGCAGCGGGTGGTGGTTAGCCACCCCCGCCTAGGCCCCATCAACACTGCATTTGTGGGCCCGCGCCAGCCGGACCCCAGCCGACCCCAGGTGCTGCTCCTGCACGGCTTCGACAGCAGCTGCCTGGAGTTCAGGCGGCTCCTGCCCCTGCTCGAAGGCCACGTGGATGTCTACGCGATGGACGCGGTGGGGTGCGGGTTCACAGGCTCATCCGGACTCCCCCTGCTGCACCCCACCACCCTCGGTGAGCAGTGTAGAGGAACAACACTACGTTTGCTGCTTTCTGAGGAGCCCAGTGGCCTGTCAACCGAGGTGGCTAGTGCCGAGGAGTGCCTCTCCAGGACGCTGACTGTGTGACAGCCCATCCACTCTCAACTCCGCTGGCCTCGTCCTCGTGCAGGCCCAGAGGAGAGGGCGGAGCACCTGATGGCCTTCCTGGAACAGCATGTGCCACAACCTGTCACTGTGCTGGGAGCCAGCCTGGGCGGAGCAGTAGCCGTGGATTTTGCGGCCCGGTACCCGCATGCTGTGAATGGGCTGGTGCTGCTGGATGCCCAGGTGGGGTTCACGGCAACCACATGGCAGGGAGGAACAGGAGGGCCAGCAAGCAGCCGCTCCACATGTTTGCCTCTACAGATGCAGGCGGCCGCCTTCCAAGTTCATAGGTCTACGGCTGTCGGCACCGGACCACCCACAACATCCCCCCCTTCCCCGCTTTCTACAGGTGATGAAGGATGGCATCGGCATGCTGAGCAGCCTGCCCCAGATCGCGGCGCGGCTGGGCGTGAGGGCGCTGCGCTCGCGCTGGCTGCGCCGGAGCGCCTGCGACATGTCGTGCCACGCCCAGGATGCGGCTGCGGTGGAGGACATGACTGAGATCGGGCGGCTGCACACGCACGCCGCAGACTGGGAGGCCTGCATGCTGGCCTTCATGCGCTCGGGGGGCTACCATGTGCGCGGCAGGCTGGCGCAGCTGGCGGCGCCCAGCCTGGTCCTGTGGGGCAGGCAGGACCGGGTGCTGCCGGGGGCGAAGAACGCACGGCAGCTGGTGGAGGCGCTGCCGGGCGCGCGGCTGGTGTGGGTGGAGGACTGCGGGCACCTGGCGCATGTGGAGCACCCGGACGTGGTTGCCTCCCATGTGCTGGAGTTTGTAGGTGCGAGGGCCCAGGATGCGCGTGCACGGCATGCTGGGGACGATTCTGTGCCAGGCAATGGCTTCAGGGCCGCGGAGGGGGTGCGCGGGGCTGCCAACGGCTTGGATCGCCTGCAGTGAGCTCCGGACGCAACTTTGGTAGCATAGATTCTCAGGAGGAAAGCGGGAATGCGGGACAGCGGGGAAGAGCAGATCTCAAGCTGCTCTCGGCCAAGGGCTGGGGCCGAATCCAGGGTCAAACGAATCTGCCCGGAGTTGTGAGGCCTCCCCTCCCTCCGGAAAGATACGGGCGAAGCGGGAGCGCCTTTCAGAGCCTAGTTTCGCATCGGAGCAGGGTCGGACTTGAATTTTGACAAGCGCAACCTCGCTAGAGCCGCAGTCGGGCTACTTCTAGGGTACGTATCGTGTCTAGATCGGTCGTCTTCGGATCTGCGGCAACATCGCCGGGAAATCACCCGGGCGAACGCAAGCCTCGACAGGTGGGGCGAGGGGCGAGCCAGCGTGTTTCACGATCAGCAGTGGAGAAGTAATGTGTGCTCAGCACAGCAGGACGTATCGAATCGAATCGCCGCTCCTCGTCCACAGGGTATATCGGAGCTGCGTCCAGAGGAGCCATGGTGCAGGCTGGTCACATACACCTGCAGTCCCCCCCCGAGCTTTCCATCCTAGCATCCTGCAGCTTCCCCAGCGTTCTTTCAGAGGCCATCGAGGCGAGCGTGGTCGAGCCCAACCATGCCAGGAGCGCCGACGCCATCCCCCTGCACTCGGCCTCCCCACCTCGCATCGGGCTGGGGGCCTACATGGGGCGCCTGCTCAAGTACTGCCGCTGCTCCCCGGCATGCCTGGCCTATGCCTACGTCTACATGAAGCGCCTGGCTGCCATGGGCGGCATGGCGGTGACGTCCACCAGCAAGCACCGCTTGCTCCTCACCGGCACCGTCATCGCGGCTAAGCTGGTGGACGATCGCTGCTTCAGCAACAACCACTGTGAGTATTGCTATGATGACTTTCGTTGGGATGGTGACGTGTGCATGGGTTGTGCTGCACGGGAATAACGTTGCCCTGCAATGTCCTTACCAACCCCTGCAGCACTGAGACCCCCGATCCATCGCTCCATCTTTCCAGACGCGCACGTCGGCGGGGTGAGCCTGCACGAGCTGAACCGCATGGAATTGAGCATGCTGCGCATGCTGAGCTACCGTGCCCAAGTCGGAGCCGAGGAGCTGGCCGAGCATCTCCTGGTGGGTTGGTACACCAGTACCGGGTTGCCCTGAACTGGTGAAACCAGCGATGCTGGTGCCAGTGTGCACCCTGGCAGCCTTGGGCCGACCCGGTGCAACCCTGGCTGGGCAGTCTTCACTCCCGCACCCCTCCATCTCCCGACCACCTGCCCACACTTCCCCCTCGCCACAGGGCATCACCTGCGTGCCAGAGGTCGCCGCCCTCCCTTTTGATCGGCCGGGCATGCCGCCGCCCTCCCCCAGCTGCCCCGCGCCCCAATCCACCCCGTCGGCCCCGCTCGACGACGGCCCCACCCAGGAGCAGCCCCGCCACGTCCGGGCGCGCCACTGCAGCATGGATATGGACACCGAGTCCGGCCTGAACGGCCTGGACGGTATTGTGCCCGCCGTATAGGCCAGCCCACCCTGGAGCGCCCACTCTCAAACCAGGAACTACCACTCCCTCTGAACCGTGGACTCCCCTCCTCCCTCTCTTCACTTTCCCATTCATACTTACGAGACTTTTGATTCTGCCTTATCTGGGCGTTCCAGAGGCTGGCCCCTTATTCCAGATTTCCTACGTCACCCCTGCCGTGCGCCCCTCATCCTGTCTACCGTGCCCCTGTGTCTGTCCGGTCAGGAGCTGCCCTAGAAGCACTGCTGAGCACCGAGTGCCTGTGCCGTTGCTCAGTGTAACGCCTCGCCCTTCCGTCGGTGGTGCCGAGCGGGGCCTGTGGGCGCATACAGGGTCTGGGAGGGCCAGGCAGTTCAGTGCTCACACGGGGGGAACGAGGGCTTGCCGCGTGCGGCAAGCCGGCAAGCAGGCAGGCAGGTGTCTGAGGCCATCCCTCGGCCCTGCTCTGCTCCAGGCACAGGGAGGCCGGCACACGACCCAGCAGGGTCCCCGCTCCCTCCGCCCCCTCGGCCCGCGCCTCGTTCAGTCGCCAACCTGCCCCGCATGCCCCACCTCCGCCGCGACCGTGAGGTCCAGCGTGTTGGCGCGCATGATGATGACCTGAAGCACGGCCAGCACCTGCGGCACCTCGGCCGCCAGCCGCGTCAGGCCCTGGCGCGTCAGCGCCAGCACGCGCGCCACGGGGCTGGAGCAGACCGCCTGCGACCCGTGGGGCCGCGCCAGGAAGAAGTCGGTGGACCCCGCCACGCAGCCGGGGCCCAGCTCGAAGGAGCGCCCCGCGGCCTCGGCGGACACGACCCCGGCGTCGGGGTCCTCGGCGCGGTCCGCTGCCGCCGCCGCGCCAAAGCGGTGCTGGTCCACCTGGGTGATTGGAGGTGTGTGAAGGGGGGGAGCATGAGTCGGCAGTGCTCGGGGCGGGCCTGCGAGGGACCGACCCAGGCTGGCCATCTCAACCCCATCGCCGGCGATGGGGGCAATCAGCATGGGCACCACCTGGCGCGGCTCAGATCCCGGCACCAGGAGAGGCGAGCGCCGCCCCGCAACACCCACAAACGCCGCTCACCCTGAGCGACCCCTTCTCCACGATGAACATCTGCTGCGCGGGCGCGTCCAGCCTCCACAGCACCTCCCCGTACTGCAGCACCCTGCTGTCCAGGTACTGCACCAGTGTGGCGGCCACGTCGTCGGCCGCGCCCGGGGCCACCACCGGCAGCTTGTCCAGGTGCGCGCGGACAAGGTCGGCCAGGGTCAGGCGCGCCAGGGGCGGGCGGCACAGCCCGTACCGCACCGCGGTGGACACATACTGGTCCTCCGCGTAGCGCAGCGCGGCCTGCAGTCCGTCGAAGACCAGCGCGGCGTCGGCGCCGCCGCGCGCCGTCTCGGCGCCGGGGGGCAGCGCGGTCCAGGCCGCGTGCGGCAGGCGCATGACCTCCGCCAGCGACCCGGAGTCGTGCGAGGGCAGCGGCCCAGCCGCGTCGGCCCAGCCGCCGCCGGCGCCTGCGGCGGACTCAGATCCGGCGCCGTCGCCGCCGGCCCCCGCGCCGGCGCCCACCTCGGGCGGCCAGGCGCGGCGGCCCATAGGCACGCCGTGCGCGGCGAGCAGCGGGCGCACGCCGTGGTGGTCCAGCGCGGCCAGCAGGGGGGTCACGCCCAGGGCCAGCAGGTCGCGGCACAGCACGGCAAAGGTGCGCGCGCCGGTCGCGTCCATTCCGCGCACGCGCGTGAAGTCGAGGACGAGGAAGCGCGGCGCCGCGCGCAGCGCGGCCACCGCCTGTGTGTGCCGCGTGCCGGAGAAGGCCTCGCCCGTGCGCGCCGCCGCCTCGGCCAGCGCCAGCTCGGCGGGCGGCGGCGCGTCGGCGTCCCCCGCGCTGGGGTCGGACACCAGCGCCCCCGCCACCACGTCCATGCGCCGGCTGAGCGCGTGGGCGGAGCCGAAGAAGACAAAGCCCTGGAAGCGGGCGACCACGCAGTGCGTCGCAAACACCTGCAGCGCCGCCTGCTGGTCCACTGTGGGATGTCGCAGAAGGGGGTTTAGGGGGGGGGGGGGGGGGGAGGTAGAGTGGACGGAGATGGTTTGAGGGACATTGAGCAGTCACCCCCATTGCAGACTGGGAGGGCACTTGGGGAGGAGAGTGCTGCATGAGGCAGCGACTGATTGTGGCGCTTCATGCGCTGCAGTGTGCAGGGCAGCGCATGCAATCCAGCAAACCCGTCGCTCCCCACCCTCCGCGCCCCCAGGCCCCGTCGCCCCCCTCACTGGTGCGAACGACGTTGCTGGTCATGGTGTGGAAGATCCTGAGGCCGCTGATCTGGCTCTGGGCGTAGGCGTAGGTGAAGTAGAGCGTGGCCAGCACGATGCCGGCAAAGATGCCGCCTTCTAGGCCCAGCTGCATGACAAAGGCAAAGGTGAGCCAGAGCACGCCATACTCGATGCGCGTCAGCTTGTAGAAAGAAAGGAAGAGCCAGTCGCGCGAGATCTCGACGCCAAACCAGACCAGGAGCGCGCCGAAGAAGAAGTTGGGCATGTACTATGGTTGCGGGGGGGGGTGGGGGAGGGGAAGAGGGTTGGAGGAGAGGAGGGCTGATGGGGAGTGGCGGGGAAGCAGTCTGTGGGAAATGCACTGAGGGGTCGTCATTGCGTCCTTGACTAGTTGGTCGGCGTGATACACAAAATGCAAACAACTAGGCGGCAGGATGCAACCCGCAGCTCCAAATGCATCCCGGCGGAAGGCCCAGAGTGCGAGGACTGAGCCCACTGCAGTCCTTGGCTACAAAAGAACGCCACCCCGCATACCTGGACGATGGAGAAGGGGAGGAGGAAGATGGTGAGCTCCACGGCCGCCACCATGATCCCGTTCCAGCGGCTGAAGACGCCCGCCCGCATCGTGAAGATGGTCTGGCTGTTGGGTGGACAGAGGGAAGGGAGGGGTGGTGGGGTAGGCCCTGGGATGCGAACCTAGCCATACATCCATCAGCAGCAGGCCGCGAGTCCACCGCTGGATTCTGAGCCGACGGGCATCTGGGGCTGGACAGGCTCCTGAATGAGGAACCAGGGCAAGCCGGACCTCTGACATACGCTGCCTCACCTGAAGATGTAGCTGCCGCAGTACCCAATGCCAGTCAGCCCGGTGATCACATTGGAGACTCCTGGGGGATTGAAAGGGCAGTTGGAGCCGGGGAACTCTCGAGGGCATGGCCCATGCCTCGGGCTGGCACATACATCCCCGATATTATTGCCAAGCTGTCTCCCACATCCGCCCATGACCCCCTCCCACACCCCCTGCCATTGCCCCATCAAGAAGACCGTGTTCCCACACTCTTCTCCCTATCTACCCACAATCCCCTGCTCACCCACGGTGACCAGCTCGTGGTCGAAATCAATGCGCTCCGGCAGGTCCTGCTGGATGGCAGCCACGTCCATGCAGCTGCCGAAGCACACCACCAGGATCAGGCCCGCCAGCTGCGGGGCAAGCGCGAGGCACGGCGTGGTTGGTGGAGCAGGGGCCCGGCTGTGGCGTATTCCCACTTTCATGACCCCTGTGGAACATGGGAACCCATCACGAAGCGCATAGCATGCAGCCCTCGCCCCACTTACTTTGCCTATCTGGGCAAGACCCGCCGAGACCAAGATACCGTCCAGCTTGAAGTCATGGATGTTGAACAGAGACCACAGCTCCCAGAACTCCTGCTTACCTTCCTGGGAATTGGGTTGCAAGGAGTGGGGGGTATCATTCAGGTGCATCCGTGGATCGAGTGGGTCCGACGGACCGCATCTGTTAGAATGAGGGCGCTGCACCTCCTCAGACCAGCCCAAGGACACAGCGGCGACAAAGTCTGCTACATCCGGTTGGCAGACCCACCCAAGAAAAAGGTCCATCCCACAGCGCCCCTGGTCCCTTGCAGCGTCACCCCACATGCATAATGGGAAGGTTGCGCACCGTAATCCCTCCCCCCCCACCAAGCTCACCGCCGGCCTCAGCACCCAGCCCCTGTCCATGGCGTCCTCCAGGCTCCAGCCCAGCAGCAGGCGCCCCGCGTGGAACGCGAGGACGATGGTTGTGAGCACCCCGGACAGCGCCAGCGGGTGGTTGAAGTGCTCCATGGTCATGATCATGGCCAGCGTGGAAAGCACGGCGGGGACCAGCTTGGTGAGGGCGTCCACGCTCGCCAGGTTGGCCCAGCTGAGAGCGAGGATGTGTGGAGGAGGGGCCTTGAAAGGGAGGCAACCCACTCAGTGACAGTATGATGCCCCAGTTGCCGAGCATACACTGGGTTTGCGGTGGGATATGCGACCCCTTTCCCCACCATTTTCTCGTGTACTTGACAGGCCGAGAGCTAAGAAAGGCGTACAGAGTACACTACGCCTTCCCCCCCGAGGGCATCACCTGGAGATCGTGTCGATGCTAACGCTGCATGCCAGCGCCAGACCCGAGGCAATGCAGAAGTAGCCGACGAAGCCGAGGTACCCTCCGATGACGGGGAGGGGCAGGTACTGAACCAGCTCCGCCAGTTTGTACCGCGCTGGGTGGATTGGGCGGGAGTGGGAAAGGATTGGGTCCTCTATGCCTCAGAGTAAGCGCCAGCGAGCAGGTGCACCTCCACACCGCCCGCCCCAAGGTTGTGTGTCAGCGCCGGAATTGCCGTCGCACAGTGCAGGGTGCATTCGGTGGCCTGTGACGCGCCCATCGCCGAAGGCGCCTGCGTGGGCTCTCATCCACACTCCTCAACCCCTTCATCCCACCCACCGCATCCAAAGTACATGCACTGGATCCCTCCCGCCTCGCCGCCTGCTCACCGACGAGGAGGGTGGCAATGCCGACCACGGTGGTGCTGATGGTCATTGTCAGCAGGCTGGTGCCCAGCGCCACGTCAGCGCCCTGTCCCTGTGCAGTGGCCAGGCCCGCGATGCTCGTGGCCATGGCGGACATGAAGATGAGGCCCACGTCCTGGACCTGGCCGATGGCAAAGGGCAGGGCGGAGAGGCAGACGAAAACCAGCTGGTGAACGGCACTGGAAACGAAGAAGAACTTGCAGAGGAGGTCCAGGTAGGGGGTGTAGATCGGGTCCTGTGGGGAGTCGGAGTGGAAGATGAAGACTTGAGATGGGGAGCTGCAGGTGACCTCCCAAAGGGCAGGGGGGGAACTCGGCGCTCCCCAGGGCCTGGCATCACACTCATCCCCTCCACCCTTCGACGCCCTCCCCACCTTGAACACGATGGCGGCGTAGGCGATCAAGCTGGGCACCGCGGCCACAGCGTTGACCAGCCCAAACACGATGGCCTTGCTGGCGGGGGTGGGGGCGCGGCGCGCCGTCGCCACCTTGGCCTCCACGGCGGCCTGCTCCTCCTGGATGGTGCTGAGCAGGCGCGTGGTGCGGCTCGTGGAGCGCATGAGGCTGGAGGCGGGGTGCAGGGGGCTGGAGGGCGCCCAGGCGCCCTCGGGCGGGCTGGCGGGGCAAGCCTCCTCGTCCTGCAGCAGGGAGGCCGTCAGCGCCGACTCCGGGGCCTTCTCCTGCGGGTACGCCAGGGGTTACGAGGCATGGAGATTTGCATGCATGGCATGTCGTAATGCCCTGGGGTTCCCGCCGCTGGGCGCCGGGCCCGGCCTCCCTCTCTCGGAACCCTAGCTCGGTGTGCTGCTCCCCCGAATCCGGCGCAGCACTCCTCCCATCAGCACGCCGTGCATCCCTGCACGGTGCCACGCCAGCTTCTGGCATATGCATCCCATGGCTTCTAGCGTGCCGCCCCTTGCCCACCTGCAAGGCCTGTACTTTGGACTGTAAAGATCCCACCGCCGGGTGCCAGCTCCCCGTGCCCTGCAGCAGGAAGGCGTGCGTGCCATAGGACCCGGCGGCATTGCGCCCTGTATCTGATGCTGTATCTTGACCGAAGGGTGGGCTACGAAATGAGCCTGGACTGCTCCCACCCGGACTGCGGATCGGAATGGGGTGCGCCTGGGGACCTCCCCCGTCGAAGGGGGAGGTGGGCAGCGTGCGGCGGTCCCTGGATGTCATGCGATGCGATTACATTTGTAATGGATGATGTAAATAGAACAGGAGGTGAGATGCTACCCAGACTCTCGGCTCGTTTCTGCACGTTGCGATGGGAGATCGGTCCTTACTCACCACCACAGCAGCACCGGCCTTCCCGCCAGTCCCTGGTGACAGCAAGCCGGTTTTATGATACCTGAAGCCTGTCAAGGTGGGCACACGCAATCATGCCTTGATTGGGTATGCCAGACAATGCGAGGAGGTGCGCATCTGCAGTGCATATTTTCACCCATCAAAGTAGTAAGGTGTATATATTCCAGAGCCTCACTTCAACAAGTTACAACTTTGTTTGCGATGCTGCCTCTACAATAGGAGATGGGATTCAAGGAAAAACAATGGCGAGGGAATTCTGTCAGGCTTTGTTTTGTCTTGACCTGAGCATGCATGAAGTTGCCCTCCTTGCTGCGCCGCTTCATACTCCAGCACCTCTACTCACCGCCGGCGCCTGCGCCCTGATTCGGATACACCCCTTCGACCCACCTGATCAAGAGGCAGAGGCATCCAACCCGCAAGGCTGTAAGCCTGGATTGAAGTTGGATCACCTGAGATCCACGATGTCGTCGATCAGCAACGCGACGCCCGAGGACTGGTATGTGATCACCACCCTAGCCCTTCCCCACCTCCTATATGCCTACATCTGGTTCAACAGCTCGACATGGCTAAAAACGTTCGGAAAGAAGTCTGTTCAAAGATTTGAAACAGCAGCTTGGCTCCTCAAGGGTACGTCGCCGGGGGGTGAGGCCAGTGGTGGCCGACTTTGCTGGAACCCCTCTCTGGAGAGTGGCCTCACCTGCTCACAGCCGCGCACCCCTCACCTCACTCTGGAGCTTGCAGTGCTGCAATTCTCCTCGGTGATCTACTGGTACAGCGTCAAAAAGCCTGAGGGAGTCATCCTGGGGAGCATTTCCCCCTTTGCGGCTGGCATCTCCCTGGTCTTGCTGGCTGCCGGCCAGGTACTGGGGGCATGCCATTTGCCATGGGGAGGTTCCTAGGCGGCCAGGGACGACATGTGTAGTATTTTTTGCTGTTTCAAGTACGGGAGGATGTGCATCGTGCCAAACCCTTCCTGAGGCGGCTCACAGCACCCCACCCTCACCCGCCCCCTCATGCCAGGCGCTGAACATCGGCATCTACCGCGCAATCGGGCACGCCGGGGTGTATTATGGCTTCAAGCTGGGCCACAAGGTGCCCTGGGTGGAGGGCTTCCCCTTCAACGTCGTGTCCCACCCCCAGTACGTGGGCAGTGTGCTGAGCGTGTGGGCGGCTGCGATCCTGGTGTGGGCCCAGGGGCCAGCAGGCCTGGGCTTGCTTGTGGCCTACTGGACCGGTCTGTATGTCATCACCGCCATCCAGGAGTCCTGCTTCTGACATCGTGTTGACATCGTGTTGAGGGGGGCCATTGCAGGCCCTTCGTCCCTTTTGTGGGGCTGCTCGATGGCAGAGGTTCAGAGCCTGTGCCACGGAGCTCAGCCTCTCCATGCTTTCTGAAGTCAAGCCAATCCACAGCCTCGGCTGTGAGATGCATGTGCTTTTTTCCCCGGGTGCTTTGCAGTGACAAGCTCTTTGCTCACCCCGCTCGCTTTCATCTTACGCTTTGCCTTTTCTGCTTTGCCGAAGCGATTTGAGCAACCAGTCATGAGCACCATTGAAAGCCAAGCGGCAGTTGGTCAGAAGGCATGGGCTCCTGTTGTGACTCGGGGCCTGCACACTTCTAGGGCTCATCCCATCAGACCGACAGCCCGCGATACACCGCGTGCGGCAAGCCGGGCACCAAACCCCACGACCCTCCGTCCCCTTAGTCCAGCAGCGCTCGCGTCTTGCGCCCAGACTCCACGGCAGCTCGAGCCGTGGCCACCAGGCTTGGCGGCAGCGCATGCATCAGCAGGGGCATGGAGTAGAGGATGGACCGCAGGGCCATGCCCGAGGGCGGCAGCTCCGCCTGGGCCTGGGCCTGCGCGCGGGGTGGAAATGGGAAAGTGGGTGTTGGACGGGGGGGAGATGTGACAGTGAGGGCCCCGAGGACTTGTCATGGGTAGCGACCCTACAGAGCACGCCTCCCTTCCACTCCAAGCTCGCCCTCACCTTGAGCTGGTTGAATAGGTCGATGGCGCGCTCCCATTGCTGCCCCGCCTCGCAGGCTCTCAGCAGCGCACACAGCGTGTCGCTTGTCGGCTTCAGGCCCCGCGCCTGTGCGCATGGATTTGGGTGGCGAGGCTGTTTGCGGCAAGCAAATGGTGCAGGTGGCCAAGAAAGGAGGATCCCCTCACGTCTGAGCAGCACCTGTCACGCAGGTGCACTCAGGCACCCACAGCGCCAGACACCCTCCTGAGTTCAGCCAAAGCTTCATCAGGGCCCCTTGCAGCCACTTTATCAACCCTCCTCCCACCCACACCCACCATCCCACACATAGACTTCCACACCCTCTTGCCTGCAGCTGGTTGTACGCCTCCCAGGCCTCCTGGTACTTTCCCCCCCGCTCCAGCGCAAGGATCAGGGCTGCAAACGAGGCGGCGTCCGGCGCCGGCCCCTCCCCGCCGGCCATGCCCTCCAGCACCGCGCGCGCGTGGCGCCACTGCGCGCCGCCAGCCAGCGTGCGCAGCAGCGCGTTGTGCGCCTGCACACCTGGACGGCGCCCCGTGGCGCGCGCGGCGCGCATGGCGTCCAGCGCTGCCTCCCACTGCCCGTCGGCGGCGCAGGCGCCAAAGAGCGCGGAAAGCGTAAAGTCGTCGGCGGGCAGCCCCGCGCGCGCCATCTCGCGTTCGTACTCGCGCGCGGTCGCGTACTGCCCCGGCGCACGGCACGCGCCGATCAGCGCGTTGTAGGTCGCGGCGGTGGGCGCCACGCCCGCGGCGCGCATGCGCGCCGCCGCCTCCCGCGCGCGGTCCAGCCGCCCCGCGCGCGAGCAGGCGCAGATGACGCCATTCCAGGCGCGAACGGGGGCGGCGCCGCCGCCGCGCCGCGCGTCAGACAGCAGCGCCCAGGCACGCTGCCAGCCGGCCAGGCGCGCCGCCGCGGCAATGGCCGCCGTGTAAGCCGGGCCGTCGGGGACGATCCCCGCGCGACCCATCGCCTCGAAGGTGCGCAGCGCGTCGCCCGCCGAACCCCAGCGCCGCTGGCAGTTGATAAGGGCGGTGTAGTGCCGCACGTTGGGCTGCACGCCTGCAGAGGTGTGTGGCGGTGGTGGTGAGGGATCAAGGGGCGGTGAGAGGGTATGTGGAAGGGATATCAATGTTGAAGGGGCGATGATGGACTTTGGCGGGGACGCCGCCAAGCTGTGCTCACACACTCACCATCGGACCGACATCTCTAAAGACAGCCCCCACACGCCCGGGCCTCACCGTGCGCCGCCATGCCGTCGAACCAGCGCTGCGCGTGCTGGGCGTCGCGGCAGTTGGAAAGCACGGCGGCGTAGGTGAAGACGTCGCGCGCCACGCCCTCGCGCCGCATGTCCTCCAGCACCGACCGCACCACGCCCCAGCGCTGCGCCCGGCCTGCGACGGGTGAGGAGTGTGGGTGGCAGGATCGATACAGGCGTGGCTGGGAATATGAGAAGACCTGGGGTGAGTTCTGGCCCTTTCTTTCCGTACCGCGCCACTCAGCAGATGGGGCACAGCATGGATAGGACGAACATGCCCAGCCCAGGCGGCGCCGGGCGGGGCTGACGCCGACGAGGTCTGGCTCGGTGTCCTGGAGAATCACCCCAATGCAATCCTTCTCAAACAAAAGAGTAAAACATCCGATGCACCTGCTGCGGTGATTACGGTGTTGAAGCAGGTGGCGTCTGCCTCCAGGCCCTCCAGCCGCAGCTGGCGCCACACCTTCAGCACCGCGCCGGGGCCGGCGTCGGAGCCCTGGCCCAGGCAGACCTGCATGACCCGCGTGACGACGGGGGCGGGGCGGGAGGCAGGGGGTAGGCTCCACAACAGGCACAGCGCGGCGTTGGCTGCGCCCCGCGCCTCCAGCTGGCGCAGGAGCCAGTGTACAGACTTGTGGTCCAGCTGGTGGAGGGGGAGGGCCGGGGCGCGGCAAGCCAGGAGGCTGGTCAGCAGGGGGGTCAGGGCGGACAGGTCGGGAGGGGGGGTCAGGACGGGCAGGTCGGGAGGGGGCGTCTGCGGGCTGCTCGTGCCGGTGGAGCGGTGTGCCGCTTGGTCGGGGCCCGTGGCCAGGCCGGGGAGTGTTGGGAGGGTGGGGGGCTGGGCATGGGGCCTGGCATTGTTGCGACGCTGGACTCCCGGCCCGAGCTTGTCACCATGAAGGCCAGGGAGACGACGTGGTCCAAATGTATATACAAGACCTCTACTCCACGGTACAATTCTGGACATGACCAATGCAGGGCTCAGAAACTGTGCATGGGCTTGTGCATTCCCTCACGGGGCACCCACACGGCCATGATGCTGCCCGGAAGTGCTGGGCCTCTCGAGACTGCCTGTGTCTCAAAATTCGAGCATTATATCACGGTAACAACTCGTGCAAGTGCATCTGTGGTTTTGCGTGGAATCCTGACATTCTTGCTCGTGCTTCGTAAATCTGCATGTCGCGCCCTGGCATCCATATCGCAATTCAGCGTCGCATCGGTACCTTGTTTGCGCCCCAAAACTTCTTACCAGACCGTAATGACTATCATCGACTCCCACTCCAGCAAAGCAACCAAATGCAGCTCGGCACAGGAAAATCCACCTTTGGGGTTTGGTTTGCCATTATCGCGGGGATTTTGTTAACGATTATGTTTCGGCAATGATTGAATTTTTACCGAGTGTTGTCGGCTCTAAGTTGATGGTATTCCCTTCATGTACAGTAGGAGGATGGGATAGGCGAACCGCCTCGCAATTGAACATAATTCAGTGGAGGGCAGGGCGAGCCAATCAACAGGTTCATCATCTTCACGGAATGCATTCACCACCTCAAGAGCATCAATGAAATGAGAACTGGCAATAATGTAGACCAAGACCAGTGCACGGTTAATGGGTAACCCAGCGCAGAGCTTGCTCTGAATGGAAAGAGTATGGCTGCAAGTCAATACGCGATTTGAAGTGCTGCAGCGCTTGCTCAGCAGCCGGGCGGCCACATGCGTCAGATGCCTGTGGCTGCCACCCACAAGGTTCCACCAAAGATGGGGTTTCGTGCCCGGTCTCTGTAGATGTTGCCTTCTCTCCAGTTTGTCGGGAGCTCCCACAAATTCCCGATGCAATGCGGTGTTCTCCCTGGGATCTGGGTAGAAGTGCTCAAACACCCTGTAAAGGCCATCCTTGAGCTCCACTGAGAGCTCCACGCCAAAGTTTTCGGGATGTAGAGCATGCGCTGCCAGGTGTATGTCTGTGATGGACCTCCTCGTCCACAGTTGGAAAGCTGCCAGCACCTGTTGCCTTTCGGCGTGTGGGATGATCTCTGTGCTGGCAAGGTTGTCCTCTACCTCACATACCGGACGATAGAGGACACCGGTGCAGGCACTGTCTTCAGCCACAAGGTGCAACAAGTCTATGAGAGGCCTGGAGGGAGGGAGCAAAGGGGGGAAGTGAGCTTTTATATCCTCTTAAGGATGTCCCACATCCTTGATTGACGTACCTGATGAGCTCTAGAAGGGCTTGACCGCGACCCTTTCACCCAGGGCTCTGAATGAGCTGGGCAATCTCGTCCGGTTCTTGCCGCGCAGTCCAAGGCATCCCGTAAAGCCAGTTCTGCCAGTCAGCTGCCGCAGTCATTTCCTGCAGGTTCTCCAGGTTCTCCAGCAGCCATTCCAGCATGAAATACTTGGACGTCAGATGAGTCTCCCCTACAGCATGATCGTGAGTGATTTGACAGGATTGGTGTTTCCATTGCCGAGACTCAGGTCACTAGTCACAAAACTGGGCATCGCCAAACACTCACCACAGTTCACCGGCAGGCTGTCAGAAGAATCTCAAAGGCAACGCACAGCCGTAGGGTTGTCATACACGAACATGCATAGCTTGAGACATGGGTACAAGTCCCCTTTCACCCAAGACATCTCGCTCATGTCCTTGAAGAGGATGTCCACGGCATGCGCCGCACATGGCGTCTATCGGATGCTGGGATACCTGCGAGGGGCCACCATGGTTTCCCAGTCCGCAATGTCTGTCTCCAGGCAGTTCCGCTACCATGCCCCAGAGCCAGGGCTCACCTCTGCTCAATGATGGCCCCCGCCAGCTGGCAAGGAATAGCATTATCGGTGATCATCAGGTCTACACTCTTGACTCCGATCTCCTTGATGACCGCCTCCAGCTGATCTGCCAAGTACTCGGCAGTCTTGCAGCCATCAGCAGCATCAGTGCTCCTTGTGAAACGCCCCCCCGCACTCGTCATTGCAAAGAAGTCCAGCACTGGTCTATCTGCTGCATCCTGCCAGCCATCCATGACAAGGGCTAAGCCCTGTGGACTTAGAAACTGGGGATAACAGGTTCCACTGTTTGGAGAAGGTCTCATTCTTGTCTGTGCAAGTCACGCCTTTGAAGTCTTACCTCTTTTTCCTCAGCACGCATCAAAGGTTGGAGTTCTTTCTTGAGATTCTCAACGTTTTTGGCCAGCAATGGCCCGCAGAGTTCGCTGTACGTCGGGAGTCGGATATCGCCATCAATGTCCGCGAGTCTCTGCATCATTCTACAGAAGGAAGACGATTCCACCTGCAAGGGAAGCCAAGCACAGCCAGTGACTGGGATGGGGCATTGCTCAGCATCTCCAGAGCGATCTCTACATGTGTCATCCCACCTTATCAAAGGGGATGCCCTCCTGGGAGAAGAACCTGGCAATAGTACCCCTTGCTTGTGCAATTCCCTGGGTTTTCAGTGCGTCCTCTAATCCTCCCTGTTTCAAGGGCTTGCTGCTTGTACCAGGGCTGTCAGCGGCGGAGCCGGTAACAAATAGCTATAGGGACGCTTCTCCATGTGGCCAGAGTTTCTGATATGGCAGGCCGCCTCCGCAAGGTCTGGCGGCATATTCTGGCACTTCCTGACATCTTTAACGCCGATGAAATGCCCTTCTCTGTCTTGTTGTATTTGCGGTGATGATGCAGTTGCAGCACCGGCATTGTACTTTGGTGCTGGGCCCAGCGTCTGGCACCTCAACCCTCTGGAACGCTACCGCAACCAGTCCTTCGAAGGATCTCATGAGACACTGATGCTGGAGATCGCACACCACAACCTAGATGATACCATCCACCTCCCTCCTGCAGCTCGATCTTGAAGCTTCCCTGGGGTGGGGTCCGAATACGATCTGGATGCATTTTGAACTCGAGGCGCCCGCACGTGGGCAGTTTGCCATGGTACTCGGTGAATAACTCAATCAAGGCAGCCTCCTCAATCGGCAACGTATTGTGATACCCATCTTCATATCATTGCAAAACAATGTCTGTAAGTTTTTATTGATGCGCAGTAAGACCAATGTGGCTATTCCCATGCAAACAAGATTTTGTCTTGGACTCCCACAGCTCATCTATGTCCCTCGATACTGCACCATCTACATGCAACCCTTCCGGGGTGGGGTTGAGCCAAATATGTAGAGGGCGCTGCCTTGAGGAACCAGTATAACCAGTCGCCCTTGGTGCTGTCCAAGGCTGCTCAAGTATCTCAGGACTACGCCTGCTCTGGAGGTACTGAGCCCCAGGGGTGGCACTGCCGATGCAGGCGACTGTGAAAGGGGTGCATGATCTACACTGCGCCGATATAACGGAAGCTCGTCAGGCCGACATGATTTTCCATTACTGGATTCTGTGTGATGGGTTGGCATGCCTCTTGCTCCTGCCATACCCCTGACCTACCAAACAGGATGAACCCAGGCAACGAACCAAATAACCACTGAACCTTGCACACTGCAAGGTTCGAGAATAGCTGCTGGTGAACTTTCATATTTTCAACATCATCATGAAGCCGGGCTGCAGGGTGCCTAGGTGACACAGGTTCTGCAGACGACATGCATTGATGAGCACTGGCATGCGCAGAAGTCTCTGGTACAAGGGTTGGGTGACAGGATGGGATATCAAGGTGAGGTACGGAGGTGTCCCTCCTGGACAAATGGATCAATACATCCTTGAGAACACGTGTAGAGTTGGGATGAACGGGGGTTGCACCGCCCACGCTGCAGGTGCGGCTGCGGCGTGCTGGACCCCCTGCTCCGACAGTTCCGTGAAGAGTGGGACGAGCCTCAGGGCCCTCACAACCCCGCAGTCTTGCTCCGCAGGGCATAGTAGCACCAGACGCGGAAGAAGATGAGGAAGCCGAGCAGGATGAACCCGTTGCGGATGGCTTCGCCCTGGCTGTTGGGGTCCTGGAGCAGCTGCAGCGAGTCCTGCAGGCTGTGTTTGCATGACGAGGTGGTGGTGGTGGGGTGGTGCTGGTCGGGAGGACGCCTTGGACAAGGAGCTCCAGTATGTTCCAGAAAGCAGCTCCTTCCCTGGCAAAGCACAGCAGCAGGCACAGCGCAGTGGACCCCGCTGTCCCTGGTCGTGCATCCACACGGCAGCACTCACTTGGTGACCGGGGTGCATTCCGGGCTGGTGCTAGGGTCGCTGGGGTTGGTCAGCACGCAGGTGTCGGTGCCCTGCTCCATGCAGCTGTATATGGTGCGCCCCTGGAACTCAAAGTACAGCACCATGCCCAGCGCATAGTAGATGAATGAGAGGTACTTGAGCCAGCCGATCCAGTCCGCCAGGCCCACGACGAAGAAGCCTTTGCAGTGTGGGATGGGGTGAAATGGTTGGGGCTGCCCACAAGCAGCACATGCACCTCTTGGAACGCAGTGGCAGCAAGTGTGTAAACAACAACGCAACAAATGTAGAGTTCAGCCATGCCCCCGCGCGCCAGCGAGCCACCCGACACACCTCCTGTCAGGACCATGGCCAGCATGATGATGGTGGCGTAGGTCTGTGCCGTCTTGGGGTTCATGACCATCGTGCCAATGAGCAGTCTGCAACACATGAAGACGGGTTGACTCATTGGGGATGGAGCTTTAAACAATGTCGCCACCCATCAAGGTCCATGCCTTCCCTAGCCGCCAGGGCATTGCCACCATCAAAGACAGCCCACGCTAGTGTGACAGCCAGTGCCAAATAATACTGCCAGAGGCTTCATGGTCATCCAAGAGCAATCTGGCCCTCGAAATCCCTACCACACTACCACACGCAACCCCTCGGTAAACTCACCCCAGACTCTGGGCCACCAGCATGGACAGGATGACAGTGAAGTAGTTGGCAAAAAAGGCGCCAGCTGTGTACCGGAGCCCGCCCATGAAGTAGACGACGATGATGAAGAGGGTGGGAATGGTGAAGTCCATGGGCCAGTCGGACATGAGTCTGGCAAAGTAGAAGGCTGACAGCCTGCAGGAGGGGTAGACGGACGGCAGACAGAAGTGGGTTGGGGATCTCGTCCTCCATGTCCTCAGCTGAGGACGGCCCAACAGGTGCCGTCCACGGTGTTATTGCGCCACTGACCCTCCGCACACCCCCAGATCCTCAATCAACACACAACTACACCTCCCATCCACCCCTCCCACGACACTCTGCCGGACAGCGGACCTGTACATGCCGCTGGCACGCTCCTTCAGCATCATCCGCTGCTCCTCCGGGAAGGTGAACAGCGCCACAAACAGCATGCGGAAGGCAAGGAACATGATCTCAAAGAAGAGCAGTCCTGGGGAGTGGGAGAGAGTTTGTGGAGTGGGCAGGCTTTTTATTGTGCTGTGCGCAAACACAATCTGACAGCAGCTGTGAGTTTTGGTCGTACAGGAGACTACATTGATCATGCGTACTATGAAAAGCCCACATTCCCTGCCTTTTGCCAGCATGCCAGCTCACCAATGGTGTTTCGAGCGGACAGGAGGGTGTCGTCCTGGGCCTTCTGCAGCCAGAAGAGGCCGGAGAGCACGGCGATCACCATCAGCTGGGCGATGTCTTGCACGGAGAAGTTCTGTGAAAGGAGATGGACACAAGTTGTACACGTTTCCTCAAAGGGACATGATGATGCATTGGCAACATGCCACATACAAAAACAGCATGACGCAGGAACCCCTTCCCACCCCCCTCAAACTGCACAACACCATCAACCGCTATGACAGGAACACAATCACGCACCTGAAAGCGCCGGGTCCGGATCGAGCGCTGGAACAGGATCTTGAGCTGGTCCTTGTAGGAAGCCCCCCACCGGTGCTCGTTGCTATTTGCGTCCTCACCTCCCTGCCCGCCCTCCTCTGCCACCACATGCAGTGCCTTGATGCTCCCCTGCCCGTTCTTCTCCAGGCCATTGCCGCCATTCAGGTCGACCGGGTCCAGGCTGGAGGTGCTGACGTCTGGGGACCCACCGTCCAGCTTCTCTCGGATCTGATCGATGTATGAGTGGGGAACAGGGTGAGGTGGCGTCCAGGAGTTTGAGCGCCAAGTTTCATGTGCACAAACACCATCCAAGAGGGGCTGAGTTTGTTAAGGATCAGGATAGCCCTCCCAACCTCACCTCATGCAGGTCTTCCTTGTCGGTATCAAAGTCAAAGCCCTCCATGGGGTGCTTCGCCATGAACAGCTCGGAGCAGGACACCAGGTACCTATTTTTTTTGGGGGGGGGGGGGGTTGGAGACAGGGGATCAACAAGCTGAGCGAGCATTTGGAGGCCAGCGGTGAGCTCCATTGATCTGGCACCCAGCCCTTCCCTGCCACGGCCTGCAGCCCCGACACAAGTTTCAGTAGCACAGACTCTGAGCGCATCCCTTCAAACTGTCAATCCCCAGCTGACACACAACAAGGACCCCCCCCAAGAAACTAAAAACCCACTCACTTGCGCGTCTCCTCGCCGTCACGGCCGCCCTCCGTGGACACATCGGCGGATGCCAGGTCCAGGATGAAGTCTGCGGCGTTCACGCGGTAGGGCAGGGTGTAACCCAGCGCGTCAAACCAGTCGACGGCGTGGTGTGCCTTGCCGTGGTACATGCAGTGCCCTGTGAGTGGGTTTTGTGGTAGGATGGGCGGGAGGTTGTTGTCCACAGGGCCTCGAGCTGAGCCGGAAGATCATCCTAAACCTGATGCACACCATTCGTCCCCATGCAGCACAAAGGAGAGCGGCAATGCTAGGCCCCTGGAGAGATCAACAACCCGTATTTTGCAACAAATGTAGACCCCTTTGCCGGCCACTCGAGGATACCATCCTCTCCGCGCCCTCCCTCCCCCCAACAACCAACACACAACTCACCCTGGGACAGGAGCAGGAGGTTGTCCAGGGTCTGGTAGATGCGGGAGGAGGGCTGGTGGATGGTGGTGACGATGACGCGGCCGCCCTTGGCCAGGAACTGCAGCATCTGGAGCAGGTGCATGGCGGTGGTGGAGTCCAGCCCGGAGGTGGGCTCGTCCAGGAACATGATGGAGGGGTTGATGAGGAGTTCGTGCCCGACGGAGGTGCGCTTGCGCTCGCCGCCGGAGATGCCCTTGCGGAAGAAGCCGCCGATGACAGTCTTGCGGCACCCCTCCAGACTCAGCGCGGTGATCACGTCGTCCACGCGCTTGGCCTTGTCTGCCGCCGACATCTCGCGTGGCAGGCGCAGCGCAGCGGCGTACCCCAGCGTCTCCTCCACCGTCAGCGACTCGTACAGCAGGTCGTCCTGCAGGACGTAGCCCACCTGGCGCTTCAGGCGCTTGGTCAGCGGCGCGCCGTTGAAGGTCACGCTGCCGCTGACCTTCATCAGCTTCTGCGCGCGCGCGCCCATGATGGACAGCAGCGAGGTCTTGCCCGAGCCGGAGGGGCCCATCAGCGCCAGCACCTCGCCTGGCTCGATGCGCCCCTGGATGCCGAACAGGATCTGTGAGGGGGTTGTGGTGTGGGAAGGTGGGAGGGGGATGAGCTGGATTCATCCAGAAGTGGTGAGGGGGATGTGGCTACCCACACCAGCCAACCGATGGGCCGGTTCATGGAATACGACAGGGCACACAGTACTGGGGGACGCCAAAGTGACACAGGATACGCACTTGTCGCATGGTGGGGCGGTCATCCACGGGCGTGGCCGCGCTGCTCTTCCGCCATGTAGCGGGATTCAGCTTGGAGGTCCAGGAGGGCCCCGAGAAGAAGTTGGGGACATGTGCGCTCACAGCATTGATCTGCACCACCACGCGCTTGTTCGGTGGTATGGACTCGATAATGGACAGGTTTCCAATATCTGTCTGGCCGATCTGCAGCTTCACAGTGTGCGTGCGCTCCAGGAAGGAGGCGTTCCTGTGACCGTCGGACCCGTAGCTGGTCCCCGACGGGACCACCCGTGGAGTCCCAGCCTCCCGGGCTTTCTGATCCTCGTCGATTCCCATGGAAATAATATTATCAGACTGAAATAATATGGGCTATCCCCGTGTTGACCCTCCCGTATTGTGCCCAGTCGTTCATTCGGCCCGTCTGCTGCGCACTCACACACAGTGACGTAATCGTCACACATGTTTTTTCGTTTCGCGGCAGCTTCAAAACGATTGGGATTCTGTGCGACAGTGTCCGAACTCCCAAAGAAAGATTCCCATGTGGTTCATAGAGCACACTGAGCAACATTACAGGTCGCTGATTGTCTGGTCTGCAAGGTCTGTCGCGTTGTGCAGGCCCGACAGCAGTCGGGCACCGACTAAGTGGTCATGGCTGCCGTACCCATGGTTGATCTCGATGAATGAAAGGTTTATGTGCACGCAGGCGGTAGCTTTGCGCATCACTCACGTTTAAGTACACAACCAATTCCGTTTGGATGGTAAGGGGGGATTCTTGCGGAGCGCAGTTGTCACCGTGCTCGCCGGAGGGTTCCTGGTCAGCCGCCAGGGATACGGACTGGCTAGATGTGCACGGTTGGGCCCATGCACGGCTCGGCTCTCGTACAACCCCCGTATACATGTCAGCGACTGCTACTGGTAGCATTTGGGTACACTGTGCTCGATTGAACTGCTGATGGCGTGCCACAATGGTTGTATGTGCAAAACTTGCGCGCATCAGATGCCAGATGCCATTGGAGGGAAAGACTGCCAGGCCATAGCAGAGACTGTTGTGTCGAAGACTAGTTTCACATGAAAAGGTCTGGAAGAACACTCGGTGCGATCCACATCCCAAAGACTTCATCAGCTTTCTCTAGCGTGAACATCTGCCAGCAGGGTGGGCGCTCCAGCCACCATCCAACAGCAGATTCAACAATTTCAAAGAACATGATGAGCAGTCAGTTGGCAAAACCGAGTTTCCTGACTCGCCAGAATCAACCTGGCTTACCCATGGAGGACCCCCCTGTCTGTCATCGTAATGTACAAGCTTGTGGCGAAAGTCGGTTGGGGCGGCGCAGCAGAGGGCAGGCAATACAGGTAACAGCCCTACCGCCTCTTCCCACCACGGCTGCCCCCCCTGCTCGGCTTCTTCTCCCCCCTCCGGGCGGCCGCCCGGTCAGTACCCCGCTTGTCCTTGCGCATGCGGGCGTCCAGGGGCGGCCCCTTCTTCTTGTACTGGTCGGAGCGGGAGGGCTTCTTCTTGCCCCGCCCCCGCCCCCGCGCCACCTTGTACAGCTTCTCAATCTCCTTCACCTTGGCCCCCGCACTGCCGTCCTCCGACTTGGCGATGGCCTCTGCCTTCTGCCGCGCCTGGCTCAGCCGCTCGCCCAGGCGCTTGGCCTTGCGCGCCTTGGCCTCCGCCACCTTGCGCATGGGCCGAGCGTCCACACTGCGCAGCGCCTCCCGCGCCTCCTTGTACTCCGCGGGCGTGACCTGGGGCGCGGGGCGCATGAACTTCTTCTCGTCCTCCTCAAACCACTTGGGCAGGCCCGTGTCGTGGCTGCGTGTGAAGACAGTGGAAAGGGAGGAATCTTGAGTCAGAGACCCTATTGGGAGTCACTGTATGCTTCCACTGTGAATGCATTGAGGAGAGGCACACCATCACACCTTCGCCTCCTTGCCAATAAATGAGCCCACGTAAAGGTGCCCTGCCTGAGTATCCTGCCACCCCACTGGCCGCGACACTCACAACGCGTATCTGTTGTAGGCCGCCTCCACGATGTCGTCCTTGACCCTGCGCCGCAGCATCTTCTTGGCCAGGGCCATCATCGTGGCCTGAGGGGAGGTAGTGGGTATATGGAACCACATGTTTTATCTTCTTTCAGCTACCTCAGACTCGCGGTGCAAGACCCAGTTGGATTGACCCCCATGATCCCACTCCCTCCCCTGGGGATGCAGAACGGTGCCGAGATCCTTACCCACACAGGAGCTTGTACACCAATCCCACGAGACTGCCGCACTCCACAAATGATGCTCGCCCCACCTTGGCATCGTCGTCTAGCAGCTCCAACTCGTTCTCGGAGTCGGAGTCGGAGTCGGAGTCCGAGTCCGAGTCCTTGGCAGGCACCTCCTCGAACCCCGCCCTAGATGCCCTTGGCCCCCGCACTGCCGTCCTCCGACTTGGCGATGGCCTCTGCCTTCTGCCGCGCCTGGCTCAGCCGCTCGCCCAGGCGCTTGGCCTTGCGCGCCTTGGCCTCCGCCACCTTGCGCATGGGCCGAGCGTCCACACTGCGCAGCGCCTCCCGCGCCTCCTTGTACTCCGCGGGCGTGACCTGGGGCGCGGGGCGCATGAACTTCTTCTCGTCCTCCTCAAACCACTTGGGCAGGCCCGTGTCGTGGCTGCGTGTGAAGACAGTGGAAAGGGAGGAATCTTGAGTCAGAGACCCTATTGGGAGTCACTGTATGCTTCCACTGTGAATGCATTGAGGAGAGGCACACCATCACACCTTCGCCTCCTTGCCAATAAATGAGCCCACGTAAAGGTGCCCTGCCTGAGTATCCTCCCACCCCACTGGCCGCGACACTCACAACGCGTATCTGTTGTAGGCCGCCTCCACGATGTCGTCCTTGACCCTGCGCCGCAGCATCTTCTTGGCCAGGGCCATCATCGTGGCCTGAGGGGAGGTAGTGGGTATATGGAACCACATGTTTTATCTTCTTTCAGCTACCTCAGACTCGCGGTGCAAGACCCAGTTGGATTGACCCCCATGATCCCACTCCCTCCCCTGGGGATGCAGAACGGTGCCGAGATCCTTACCCCCACAGGAGCTTGTACACCAATCCCACGAGACTGCCGCACTCCACAAATGATGCTCGCCCCACCTTGGCATCGTCGTCTAGCAGCTCCAACTCGTTTTCGGAGTCGGAGTCGGAGTCCGAGTCCGAGTCCGAGTCCTTGGCAGGCACCTCCTCGAACCCCGCCCTAGATGCCCCACCAGAGCGCCCGCCTGTGAGGGGCTCCGGGTCAGCGTCCGAGGGCTCGGGCGCGGCGGGCACGGCCGCACGCTGCTGCCCCGCCTTCTTCACCCCCGGAGCGGGCGCCGGCGCGGCCTCGACGCCACTCATGTCTCCCGACGCGCCCCCTGCATCGTCCCCCTCCGCCGCCGCGCTGATGTCGGCGTCGGCGAAGATGTCCTGGCTGAACCACTGCGCGGCGGCAGCCGCCGCGCTGGTGGCCACCCCCACCTTGCTCTCGTCCAGCTCCACGACCAGGCCGCCGCCGTCGCCGGGGGTATCGTCGTCGTCGTCGTCGTCGCTGTACCCGCCCAGGACCACGGGCTCGTCCCCGGCGTCGGCCCCCTCCTCCTCCTCCTCCGACAGGTCGCCCTCCATGCCCACCCGGCGCCGCCGCTTGCGCGCCGCGCCGCCCTTGCCCCGGATGCGCTGCCGCTCCTTCCACGACTGGTACGACGTCTCCAGGTACTCGTCCATGACGGCGTCGTAGCGCCTCTGCTCGTCCTCCGAGTCGACCTCGGACTCGGTGCCGGGGTCCTCCGCCACGTCCCCGGCCTCGGACCCGGAGTCCAGATCCTCGGCATCCGGCACGCCCGCCGCCGCCAGCCGCTCCACGGCCTGCCTGCTGCCCTTGATGGAGGCCAGGGAGAACATGCTCTCCGGCCCATTATCCTCGCCGATGCCCTCCGCCTCAGCCATCTGTGCGGAGCGCAGCCGCGCCTTCATGCGCAGCTCCTTGCGCTTCTTCTTCTCCTTCTTGGCCACGCGCTCCATGCGGTCCTTGATCTCCCCCATCTCGCGCAGCAGACGCGTCTCCGCATCCTCCTCCTCGTCTTCCGCGGTCTTACCGTCCTCGGCCCCCTTCACACTCGCCCCGGCCTCGGCCGCCGCCGGCGCCCGCTTGGCCAGGTCGCGCTTCAGGGTCAGGCGCCACTTCAGCAGCTGCTTGAACTCGGAGCGGCCCAGCACCTGCAGGTCGCCGCACAGGAGCCTGACCTCGGGTGTGGTGGCGGGGTGGTCGGCGACGAAGCGCGCCAGCTCGCGCCCCTCGCCCTCGCCCCCGGCGCCGGCCTCGGCGCCCAGGTCCAGCACGGTGTACTTGCCCAGCAGCTCGATGGGCGCGTCCAGCAGGACAAAGTCGGCGGCGGGGAGCGTGCGGTGCAGGCTGGACAGGCCGTCCTCGTAGCCCTCGCGGAAGCGGCGCTGCGTGACCTTCTGCTTGACCAGGGCGTCGGGGCCCGCGTTGCGCGGAGCCTCCGCCACGTCCTTGAACAGGTGCTTGGGGTCCAGCAGGCGCGGGTCGATGCGGGCGGGGGCCTTGTACCCCTGGCACACCACAAAGATCTCGGCGGAGGTGGAGCGCGAGGCGGCGGGCTTGGTGGCCTCCACGCTGCGGAACAGCTGCTTCATGGCGTACATGAGCGGCGTGTAGTCCTTGGACCGGAACACCTTGGTCACAAAGGTGCCGCGCGGGGCCAGCGTGTCGCTGGCCAGGCGCAGCGCCTCCAGCGCCAGCGCCGACTGGCTGTACGCCTCGCTGGCCCAGGCGCCGCCCACATTGGGCGCGCCGTCGTGCAGCACCACGTCGAACAGCGCGCCTGCCGCCTCTCGGCGCAGCATGGCCCGCGTCTCGGTGGTGGTGATGTCGCCGATCAGCGTGCGGGCGCCGCGCACGGGGCGGATGGGCACCAGGTCCACGCCCAGCACCAGGCTGCCCACCGGCATGTTCTTCACCGCCACCTGCAGCCAGCCGCCTGGCGGGGCGGGGGGTTGGGGAGGGGAGAGGGGTCAGGGCGGGAGGAATTACACGACCACACGATAGAATCAAAATTCACAATGGATCGCACAGTGGAAGGCCAGCGAGGACGCATGCTGGTGTCGCCTTCCAGAGTCCTCGGCTTGTGGGGGGGCCTCCTGTCCAGCCCCAGAAGTAAACACCTCACACGCGCACCTGGGGCGGCACACAGGTCCAGGCACGACCTGGAGCTGGACAGGAAGTCATACTTGCGGTTGAGCTGGATGAGCTTGAAGGCGGCGCGGGACCGGAAACCTGCAGCGAGGAGGGCGGTGTGGGTTGAGGCTGGGGCTTCAGCCGGCAGGAGGACCCTGCAGCATGCGCCCCGCAATATGCAACCATGCACCAAATGCGCAGTTTCACACATGGAAGGGCAATGGCATGCATCTCGCTTCCTCCCTCGCGCCGGGCCCCGTCCCCCGCCACCTGCGCGCCTTGCTCCTTGGCGAGGTAGTAGAACTTATCCAGGCGCGTCTTTCCCAGCTTCTTCTTCTGCCCCATGGTGTCTCAGTACTAGGGTGTGGGGCTCAACAGGAGGGCGCCACAGAGTGGCTGTGCGGGGCAAGCAGGGCGAGAGGGGGTATTTCATGCCGGCAGGCGCGCGCCCGGGGCGGAGCCCGAAGATGCGGCGCCTGCTGCGGGTGTTGGTGTGGTGGGGGAGGGACGCACGCAGGCATCATTCGAACACCCTCAGCGCGCTCATCGCTCTTCATTCACCATTCAAATGAGTCGTGCTTACAGGCTCAGCAGTTCATTCGTCCAGGGTGACGCACCGGAGGCGCAGGCACGGGCGCTCCGCCCCTCGCCTGCGCTCAGCGTGCCGCAGCGGTGGCGGCGGTGTCGTAGCCGTCGGGGTTGTTGGAGGCCCAGCGCCACTGGTCCTCGCACATATCCTTGACCGTCAGCTTGGCCTTCCAGCCCAGCTCGCGCTCGGCGGTGTCGGTGGCGGCCCACACCGCCTCGGCGTCGCCCGGCCGCCGCCCCACCAGCTTGGTCTTCACCTTGAGCCCGCTGGCCGCCTCAAAACCCTGCAAAGCAGATGATTGAGGGGGGTGAAAGGGAGGGGGCTTTAAATACGCGTGGGTCGGCGGTGAGGGCTGCCACTCGGGATGCCTGCTTCGACAGACGCTCAACCCCGCGTGGGTGCCTGGAGGCCCCCCAGGCGCACACTCCCACCTCACCCACAGCGTGGCCTCGCGATGCCGCCCCTCCGCGCCCACCCCACCGCCTTCCTCCCCCTCGTGCCACCCAAATCACCCTCATGCATCACTCCTCTCCCACTCACGTGGACCATCTGGAGGACGGTGGTGCCCTTGCCCGTGCCCAGGTTGTAGGCCACGGTGCCCAGGCCCTCGGTCTCCTCGGTCTTGCGCACCGCGCCCACGTGACCCTCCGCCAGGTCCATGACGTGGATGTAGTCGCGGACGCAGGTCCCGTCCTCGGTCGCGTAGTCGGTGCCGTACACCGCCAGCTCGGGGCGGTGGCCCAGGGCCACGGCCTGTACCCAGGGCATCAGGTTGTTCAGCTTCACCTGGTCCTCCCCGATGCGACCTTGAGGAATGGAAGACGTGGGGGGGGGGCTCGAGGCAAGGGGCTTCCCCAGGGGGAAAAGATGGGGCAAACGGCGTCCGTGGACAGATGGCGGGTCTCCATGACCAGGCCCAGACCCTGGGTGGGAATCAGGCGGCAGGCAGGGATGACCTCGCCCGGAGATCATGCCGCAGGCGAGAGCAGCCGCGACGCAAGCACTGTCCCGGGTGCCCCCGGCAGCCGCGAGCTCGACACGTGCGCACCAGGGTGCACAGGACACCCGTGACACCACCGCCCATGGTCTTGAGCCCAGGCATGACGCCCCACGCTCCCTGCACGCCCCCATGGCCCCCCCTTCCCCCCTCACCAGAGGGGTGTGCGCCGACGGGGTTGAAGTAGCGCAAGAGGACGATGCGCCACTCCTTGTCGCTGGCGTGCAGGTCACGGAAGATGTCCTCGTTGATGATCTTGGTGCGGCCGTAGGGGGAGACGGCGCACAGCGGGTGGCTCTCGTCGATGGGGACGCGCTGGGGGTTACCGTACACGGTGCAGGAGGAGGAGAAGACCAGCTTCTTCACGCCGTGCTTCTGCATGGCGCGGGCCAGGTTCACCGTGCCGCAGACATTGTGGTCGTAGTATCGAAGCGGGTCCTCCACGCTCTCGTTCACATACTTGCGAGCCGCAAAGTGCACCACCGCGGTGAACCTGGGTATTTTGGGGGTGGGAAGGGGGCAGGGGAGTGTGGATGTGGAGGTCACAGGACGGGGGGCCATGGCATGGGGTTGGGGACCTGCGGTGGATGCCATGCTCAACAGGCCCAGCGCTCGCCCAGAGGACACGGCGGGGCGCACGTCGCTGGGCACGCTGGAAACCACCGCTCTGCAAGAACCACCCCTCCACCGGAGACGCACTTGGTCTCGGCAAAGATCTTGTCCAGGGTGGCAAAGTCACGCAGGTCGCCCTGCAGGGGTGGATGCACGGCGCCACGTGGTTGGGGGGACAAGCCGCTGCACACATGATGCACCGCGATGCACCCATGCAGGCACACCACCTGTGCAGCCATGGGGCCGGCCAGGTCCCTACCCGTCCCCGCACATTCCCCCCCCCCAAACACCCTGTACCTTGATGAAGGTGAGGGCATCCTTGCGGTCCCCAGCCAGCTCCTTCATGCGGTAAAACGCCTCCTCCTTGGAATTCTCCAGGTTGTCGATCACCGTCACATTGTAGCCATGCTCCAGGAGAGCCAGCGAGGTGTGGGATCCTGCGGAAAGGTCAACGGGGTTGAGGTCGGTAGAGGGGGTAGGCGACCGCGTACAGCGTGCCTCTCGACCACACCGACCCAGCTGCTCGAGGCAATCGCCACGGCCAGATCCTAGATTGAAGGTGCATTGGCGGCCCGGGGATCGAGACCCACCGATGAATCCCGCTCCGCCCGTCACCAACACGTTCTTCGCCATCTGGAACTTTGAGGGAGAGCAAGCGCGCAAGTCACAGTGATGGGGAGATGTAGCAAGATATTTTATACTTGCTAGATTGATGTGCCTTTACAGTTTGGGTGATCGCTGAGCGTCGAGGTTCGACGCAAGGTACGTTCACGGTACCCATGTCCCCCCTCGCTGCAAGTTGAATTCGTTGGTGGGGTTTGCGGAAGTGGTGATGAATCAGGGGCCTTTGCTGTCTCAGCAAACGGACTGCTGATCCACCAACGATTACCTCGTGGTATTTCATCAATCTAAACACAAGTTCCGAGGCCCTCGGTGTCGTCCGCGGGCCACCAACGGTCTCGGAAGTGATCTCCGTCTCCGGGCCCCGTGCCTGTCACACACTTTGATGAGGTGCATGAGCAGGGCATGAGCCCACCTCTGAGCAGGCACAAGGCCATGGCGAATGCGCGCGGCCGCGCCCCGACAGCACTCGTCGTGGTCGGGGCGCTGGCCTGTCTGTTGGGCCTGGCCAGTGGAGCCAGGGGCTCGCTGTCCCACTCCCGGACCCTGCTCATGGACAGCGCCCTGTTCAGCGGCAGGAAGATCGGCGAGCGGGCCGGCGCGAGGCAGCAGGACACCCTGTTTTCTGGCACGGGAGGCGCCCTGCTCCAGACGGACTCCCAGGGACAGGGGGGCGGCAAGGGGGTCCCCGCCGCCGCCGCCGCCGGGGCCGGCGCCGCGCTGCGCCACCCCCCGCGGGACCCGTCCCCGGACTCGCCAGCAGGTCGCGCCCCTGACCTCCCCGTGCACCAGGCCAGCCCCAGCGCGCACAGCGGCGCCCGCGCCTCCATGCAGGCCGCGCTGGCCGAGCAGGCGGCGCAGAAGGGCATGGCCGTGCGCGAGGCGGCGCACGTCGAGGCGCAGCGCGAGGCCAAGTCGCAGCGCGACCCGG